TGACAAGATTAGATGTTTGTCATTGGTGCTCAAGATCTGCAAATCATGCGCAATCATCCTATCAGACATTTCTCCTTACTCTGTGTATGTGGTAAGTGAACTTTCATGTACTATAATGCAACAGGCTACTGCTAGCAAGCAGCTAACCTTTAAGTGGCTCTGTATAACGCGTTATTTGTTTCACGGTTCGGGCACACCCCTAACCCCGCCAACCCCCTATCGCCCAACCCTATTGCATGACCTCTCTAAAATTGTGCTATTGTCTTGTTGCTAAGGTGTTTTTAGCATGCTGGTATGTGGTTGATAGAGTATAGTTTAAAATTTAATCATGTTGGGGTTTTGTTGAAATTTCTAACTCTTAACTTTAGAAAAAATTATATTGATGCTTGACTTCTTAAACCTCACTTTTGATGTCCATTTCTGCCGATGCAACTTTCAGTTCATTTGAAGAGGAAGTGGGGAAAAAGAGGAAGAGAGAAGGATAGTTTTCTCCTATGCAAAAACCATTGGGGACTATATTTGATTAAAATACCGAACATGTTTAATTTTTTTTCTATTTACACTGGTTCTTTTTGGACTCTTGCCTTCAAAGCAAATTTCAGTAGGAGAAAATTGGTTACCCTGTCGTCGGGAAATGTCATTGCTGCATAAAATATGCTCGCACTGATAATAAGGGATCCATAATTTCCTGCTTTCATCCGTATTTGCTGCTACTCAGCCACGGCCAGACTGGGAAAAATCCTTCCATTTACAAAACTGGTTAAATATTGGCTTGTGGTAAATTTGCTTTGCCTTCACAACCCAGAGGCGGTGTGAGGATTAGACAGAGAGTTGTTATTCCAGAGAAACTTTCCGGACCTGATCACAGGTCAGTGTGAATTTATTCTTCAGAACACATCCAGTTTCTTATTAATGGCCGGACGGTTCACTGTGGAGACAGAGCTCAGACATGCTGAAACTTGCCTGCTCACATGAGAAGAACTATTCTGCTTTAAGGGACCTATATTCATTTTGTGAATATGGGCCCTTTCAATTTATTGCTGTGATCATAGCTGAATTTTCAGCATCATTACTCCAGTTTTCAGTGTCACATTATCCTTCAGAAATAATTCTAATATTCTGATTTGCAGCTCAAGAAACATTTCTTGATTTATTTGACATTATCATCAATGTGGAAAACAGTCTTGCTGCTTAACATTTTTTGTGGAGACCATAATGCATTTTTTTGAGGATTCTTTGATGAATGGAAAGAACAGCATTTATTTGAAATAGAAATTTTTATAACATTATAAATGTCTTTTAATGTCACTTTTGATCAAAATAAAAAAACAAAATACCTAAAACCTTTGAACAATAGTGTACATATTAAGGTCATTAGTAGAGGTTGACCGATAGTAGATTTTACCGATACCGATAGCTAGGTTGGACCACACTGGCCGTTACCGATTAATCATCCGATAGTTTTTAAAATGGATACTCAACGAAAATTAAAATAGTGCATTTATATAAAAAAAAAGTACTGAACCATACTTTTTTACATGAATACAAATATTAATATTATTAATTATATATTGATCATTAAACTTCAAAATGTAAAAATTTATTAGTAGATGTTGAAATTAACAAACACTAACTAGATGGCCATCTTTAAATATCTACACAAAGGACATAGCATTGAAATTACATACATATGGATATTGTATGTATACTCTCACACTTTAATTGCTTCTATTCTAGAGCATGTGATGATTATCTCATCAAAATAACAAAATATGGCAGTCGCACACCGGGCAAAAAGCACAGCGCTGCGTCTAGGAGAACTCACAGGTATCAGGAGTCACACACACGTACAGGACGTGTCACGTCACCAGCCGGGCAAAAGTTCACGTCAAGAATGATTAAAAAGCCGGCATAGATGAGTTTGAAGTTCGGTGTTTAAAAAAATAAATAGAGCAAAACGGAAAGAAAAAGCGCAATCTATATTATAGCTCTCTATATGAATCATACAGACTTTATTAGAGCCACAGAAAGACAAACGACAAAATGCACAATACACAGTTTTACAGCCTAGGGTGAAGTCATTATGTACATTAACAACAATTTGGGACTAATATAATGTAATTTAATCAAAAACTGTGTGAATGGCGTTCTGCGGCGCAGCAGGATTTCTGTCGGCTGAATGAACATATCAGTTTGCTTTCTCACGTCACAGCTTTAAATCTGCAACTTCGCTGGATAACAAACGCATTAAAGTGACCAGCTGGATATAAACTAATGCAAATAGATGTTAACAATCGTGACATTTAGCATTTGCGTCAGTCTTGCGTGCGTTTTGGTCACATTGTTTTAACCGCTTGAGGTGCTGCTAATGTTCGCGTCCTCTCAGCCTTGAGAGCAAACATACTGCTGTCCTTTCTCCACTAATGCAGCATCCAGTTAACAAATTAATTACTTAGTAACGATATGAAAACATGCACTATAGTGTACTGTGTACACACCATTTCGTTGTCTGTTTTAAATCCATGCATCTGAAGGGTCAAAACAAACAGCACGTGCTGTCAGTGATTTCCGCCTCTAGAGGCCGCTCTCGCTCTCGTACTGTATAATGACAGCGGAGCCTTCAGCCGCTCCAGCAACGGACGCAACCCGGAAAAACTATTGGCATGGATTTTTGCTCATAGTTCCGGCAATCAACTATCGGTGCCGATTAATCGGCAAACCGAGACATCAGTCGACCTCTAGTCAGAAGTTACATTTATATATTTACAAATATTGATTGCTATGAATTGCATTAAAGAGGTCATCGGATACTAAATTCACTTTTACATGCTGTTTGAACATAAATGTGTGTACACATCTACCCTATAATGATAAAAATCCACCCAGTGGTTTTTATTTAATCCCTAAAAATAATATCCCCTTTTTCAAATCAGGCTGTTCTCAGCTTCTTGTCTGTGTGACGTCACAGGAGCAGGGACGTAGACAAGAATGGTTCCATAGCGATTGAGGTGTTCTGTTGTTGGGTGTAATAATGAACATAGCACTCATCATTTACTCCCGACATCTGAGCCGCTGAAGACGCAATGGATTACTTTTGTTTGTGAAGGGAATGTGCCCCTGATCTACCTAAATGCGTTTGTTCGCGCGAATCATTTGTCCAGCTTCACTTACAGCAGAAGTGAGTATAAGGGTTTTTTTTAATGAATCTTTGCAATCGCTATTCCTAATAACGTGCTAGTTAGCAAGTTTCGCGGCTAGAGTAAACGGTCTCTAAAGAGCACGGTTCGTCACCCCACAGAAGAGAGGGGCGGGGTCAGCAGAGTTCATTAGCATTTAAAGCAACATGCAAAAAAATGGGTTGATTTCTGCAGAGCTGATTTTTACAAGGTAAAAAGGGTGTTTTTTACACTACCATTGAGAAATTCTAACCAATGTATGTTATAGACTTTTCATTAAGACCCTAAAGAATCATATCAACTTGTGGAAAATGGGCATCCGATGACCCCTTTAATTAATCTATGTAATCGAGCAGACTCATTCTGAACTCTCAAAATAGGTGAAATGGCCTAAATCAGTAAAGGAGCAAAACATCAACTCTGTCCTGACTATTGCATAACATAAACGCAGAGTTTAGCCTTTATTTTTTGGAGTTTTCTCATGCTTGTGCTAATTTTTTAGTACATCAACATGATGTATTATTGAACCAGCCACAACAAACAACCCTTACAGCAGTGAAAGGAGGCTAAATAATGGAGCTTAATCACGGAAAGGTCAAAAAGAATGATTATCCACTTCAGTTGTTCAGAGGGCAAGTGTTTTATGAGCCCCAATTAGTCCCTTAGTATCAGCGTCTGTCTCTCATCACTTGAACATTTCTCTGGAGATCTTGAGTAATTAATCTAAGGAGAGCAGGGTGCCCTTCCTTCTCACACGGTCTAGCTCCGATAGTCTGTAGCAGTGGAGATCAGGCTTGTGCTGAATCCCAATTTTTGTAGTATTGCAAATGTAAAAAGTATATGTGAAAAAGTATACACTATGAGTGCATAGGTCCTAGCATTGTCTTAATACAGGCTTATCTAAATATGTTTTGTTCTGTGTGAGTTTTGATCAGTAGAGTATATGAGTCAGACAGTGGTCTAACAGAAGTGTGTGATAGTTCATCTCTTCCCTACTGCAGGATCATGGCCATGTCAAACTCTGTTCCATTAAAGGGAAAATCAACCCTCAAGTCCTCTCATCCAGAGATAATGAAGCTCTCTGAAATCTTGCATGGCTTTTACTGATGGCTGCATGTGCAATTCTAGCAGAGACAGTGACTTGAGGTGATTCACATGTTTTTTTTCCTGTACGCATGCCTTATGGAGTGTTTGCTCTGTGGGTTTGTTTTAGAACAGCTGCTAATGCTTGGAGCTAGCTGTCAGCATACCAGATAATGTGTTCAGTGAATAGGACAAGTCTGTGAGGTCATTCTGAGCGCTGCCAGTTGGTTTCGAATCTTAACAAATGGGTGTGAACTCTTTTTTTGTGGAGCTGTGTTCAAAAACATCTCTTGCCAATTGCATACTGTAATCCCTAATAAGAACTGCGATTTGGCCAGAGAGTCTTTTAGGCCAGAAACAAATACAGGCATAAATGCTCGGCCAACATATTACAATTGTACTGTCCTATACTAGATATTTCACATGCATACTTGCAATATTGTGTCAGTATTCAAGGGGCGATAAAAAGAGATCTATGAGAGTTCAATTTGGGATGCGTAGTTAGAAGTGTCTGTGCTAATGTACTTGTGTACTGTTTCGGGCCTTAGACTTGATTAAGATTGATGTGTCCTTGGAATAATGATATATGGAGGCTGTCCTATACATTTCAGATTAAAGCAAAGTGATTCATATTTCCTATCTTTAGCATTGATCATATAAAATAGCCCACAGGTGTATTTAAGACTTCTTGTTTTCCTGAATTGTTATGCAAATAACTGACACTTGCTGTCTGTTTTGCAGATTGAGTGCAGTTGGATGGCATGCAGTATCTCCAAGAGATTATGGCACACTGTGGCCAGTTCATGAGTCTCAACAATGGAAGAGTGACCAGAGTATGATGCCACAAATAAAAATGCAGTTTAGCCATGCCTCCATTGCTGATCCCCATCAAGGACACTCAATTTTTACTGCTGTCTGGGACTCGCCCTCTTCTCTTGGATAGATTCAATTTCAACATACATCATACAGCATGCAAGACCATATTGTTTATGGATGATATCATTCTGTCACGAGAAAGATGAAATTTCCTTTTATCAGGAGTCCCAATTAAAACAAGGACACATAAGTTACGAACTCCAGAAAGGGGTAAAACTGAAAGTGTGTACAATACAGATGAGGTTGCATTATGGCAGCTGAATCTCCTCAACGGCTGCATTCACGTATCTGGTACGGAGGAGAGTGATAGTTGCACGATGCAGCGAAGCGGAGGCATCGTCGGGAACAGCGGCCAGCCATGGGTACTGCGGCGAGTACGGCTCACCTGGCTCAGTTTCATGCTCTTCTTCATCCTGGTCTTTTTCCCTCTCATTGCACATTACTACCTCACCACAATTGATGAAGCAGGGGGACCAGATAAACGCATTTTTGGGCCAAGACCTGGAGGAGAGCTGTGTGAAGCGAAGCATGTTCAAGACCTGTGTCGTATCCGGGAATCCGTCAGCGAGGAGCTACTTCAGCTTGAGGCAAAGCGACAAGAACTCAATGGCGAGATAGCCCGACTTAACCTACGCATCGAGGCCTGTAAACGTAGTATTGACAGTGCCAAACAGGACTTGTTACAACTCAAAAATGTCATCAGCCAGACAGAGCACTCTTACAAGGAACTTATGGCACAAAACCAGCCAAAACTGTCATTGCCAGTTAGACTTTTACCAGACAAGGATGATCCTGGATACCCTCCTCCGAAATCGGCCCAAAACTGTCGTTTGCATACTTGTTTTGATTATGCTAGATGTCCACTTACATCTGGCTTCCCTGTCTATGTTTATGACACAGGGTCTTATCCTTGGGGTGAGAAGTTGGACCCTCTTGTCAAACAAGGCTTTGCCTCATCCGTCAAAAGCAGTGTATATGTGACAGATAATCCAAACATTGCTTGTCTGTACATAGTGCTCGTTGGGGAAATACAAGAATCACCCTCCTCTCCTCCCGCCTCGCCTTTAGACCTTGAAAAGCAGCTCAAGGTTTTGCCATATTGGAGGTTGGATGGCCACAACCATCTACTTGTACACCTTTCAAGAAAGTCTCTGACACAGAACTTCCTGTACAATGTGAGCACAGGCCGAGCAGCAGTGGCACAGTCTACCTTTTTTGAACATCAATATAGGGAAGGTTTCGACATGGTGGTGTCTCCACTAGTCCATGCTCTGTCTGAGCCCAACTTCCTTGAGGTCCCTCCGCAAGTCCCGGTCAAGAGGAAGTACCTCTTCACCTTTCAGGGAGAAAAGGTTGAGTCTTTGAGGAGCAGCTTGCTTGAAGCCCCACCGCAGTCCTTCGAGGAGGAAATGGAGGGTGATCCACCAGCTGACTATGATGACCGCATTATTGGCACACTTAAGGCTGTACAGGACAGTCACCTAGACCAGGTTCTTGTGGAGTTCACTTGCAAGAATCAGCCCAAGCCGAGTTTACCAACAGAGTGGGCGTTGTGTGGCGAGCGTGAGGATCGTTTAGAAGTACTGAAGGTCTCTACGTTTGCCTTGGTGATATCTCCAGGCGATGTCCAGTTGGTGGCATCTGCTGGCTGTAGCATGAGACTTTTTGAGGCTTTGGAAGTTGGGGTAATACCGGTGGTGCTTGGCGACCACTCAAAGTTGCCCTACCATCACCTTATACGCTGGAGTGAGGCAGTCATTATGGTACCCAAGCCTCGCATAACGGAGCTGCACTTTCTGTTGCGTAGCATCTCAGACAATGACCTTCTGGCCATGCGACGGCAGGGTCGGCTTCTTTGGGAGACGTACTTCTCCACCTCAGAGAGCATCTTCAGCACCATCCTGGCTAGCGTACGAACCAGCATCCAGATACCAGCAGCACCTATACGTGAGGAGCCTGCCCAGGAGATTCCCCACAAAGCTGGGAAGTTGGCAGGAACCGATGCTAACATGGCTGACAATGGCGACCTAGATCTGGGGCCTGTTGAAGTAGAGCCCCCTTATGCTTCGCCCCGCTTCTTGCGTAACTTCACCTACACAGCTGCTGATGTCTACCGCACCTGGAATCGTGCACCTGGCCCTTTCCATCTATTTCCACATACTCCCCTGGACCCCGTACTTCCCTCAGAAGCCAAGTTTCTAGGGTCGGGGACTGGGTTCCGCCCTATCGGCGGAGGTTCTGGGGGATCTGGTAAAGAGTTTCAGGCCGCTCTAGGAGGTAACGTCCCACGGGAGCAGTTCACTGTGGTCATGCTTACTTATGAAAGGGAGGAGGTTCTTATGAACTCACTGGAGAGACTAAATGGCCTTCCTTATCTTAACAAAGTGGTGGTAGTGTGGAATTCCCCCAAACCACCTTCCGATGATCTCCTCTGGCCAGACATTGGTCTACCAATTGTGGTAAGCATACATTATTTCTTGATCATATTTGTTATAGTCATATCTTTTTACTGGGCCAGTAAGCAACCTCCTAGTAACCTCCCGAAACACCCTAGTAAGATTCCTGAACACCCTACCAATGCATAACACCCTAACATCGTGGTGGCAAGTTTAGCACAGGCAGGCACCACTCAAGGAAAAAAATCTTGTTAAGCTTGTTATTAGTCAGAATTCTCCAAGGCTCAAATGTGATAGAACCTCACAAGCATTGCATTCTGCTGTAGATTTGGTCTGCTCTCTCTGCTGTCTTTGAAGCATAGCTTTCATGTCTCTAGGGCAGCAAGCCAAATTTGTTCTGGTGATATTAAAGGAAACAGTGCTGTATTAAGCCCACAGTAAGGTTATACTTTGAAATGAAAACCCAAACAGAATGCTGAAGTACCCCAAGTTTCTTACTATCTTCAAGTAGTTTGGAACTTTGAAATTGAGCATCTTTAATTATGGATGTAAGGTTGCAAAGTTGTATTAGAACTAGCAAATATTTTAATTTTAAACCATGCCTGCACACAAAACGTTTGCTTTATTAATCAAAAATGGTTAAGAGAAGTATTAAGTTGTTTTGATTGGCATTTGATGTTTTCATAAGGATGTGTGTCTGGCAGGCCCAGTAAAACCTCATAATAATGCCATGTTCTACCTCAACAGTCGTTCACAATGTGGCATGTTGATTCAACAGATGGGCTTTTTCTCTGCAGGTGGTACGCACAGAAAAGAACAGCTTAAACAATCGCTTCCTTCCCTGGGATGCAGTCGAGACTGAGGCTATTTTGTCTATTGACGATGATGCCCATCTTCGACACGATGAAATTATGTTTGGGTTCAGGTAAGGTTTTTATGATGCCAAGATCATACCATATTATGTTTAATAAGGCTGAGCAATTACACAGAATGCTTACAATATTTTCATGAAAATGTAAATAATTTAAATGAAATAATTTAATTCTCTACTTTGGCTGTTCACAAATTTATCCATCTTTTGGCCATTTCAAAGCAAATACGTCAATATCGAGGTATATACTGAATATAGTCAAAAGGCTTAAAATATTGAGATAAACCTTTGATTTTGTGTTGGTAAAATATTACATCCTGAAAATGCAATACCTACATTTTTGCAGATAATTTTGAAGATATTTCCCTTTTTTTAAAGATAAATTTAGGGGCATTATTTGTATAGGACCGTGCCCATGATGCTGTGACTCCATTACTTTTGCCCCTTTTAAAGAAATGTTATTTTGTGAAGTTCATTTTTATCATTTATATTATTAGAAAAGAATGTGAAACTCCCCATGATGTCACTGCTTCGGGCTTAAGTATGTTTAGGAAAAATAAATTCAGTTTTATGAAGCAAGGAAAGCAAAATATTTCTATAGGAGAGACCGTGTAAGCCGATCTGTTTTCTCACCTCAATCTGTATGTTTTAAGCATACCATTTTAGATAAAATTACAGTGTGATCCAAAGATGTGAAAAGTGTTTTCAAATGCACATGAACATCTGTATGCCCATTTAAATGTATTTGTGAAGAACGAGAGAACTGTTGTGGAGTGTTCCTGCAGGGTTTTTGCATTCAGTCATGTGATGTTGAGAGTTTAAGCCAACAGCTGCAGATTCAGTTGTTGGTTTGAGGAATTTAAAGCATCTGATCTGATAAAGTCCATGACAGTTGAAGAAAGCCCTGTGCTTCCCTCCTGTGTACTTCCATGTTTATTCACATGTTTTGTCATTGGGAAGACGAGCTGATAGCGGGAGCTTTAGATTTGATTTTACTTGCGCTGGTTTATTTTTTTTTTCGTCTGTTTGTTATGGGGTAAAAATGGTCACGTCAAGAATCTTTACACGCTGAACACTAATAATGTTCCCGATATGTTTTGGTGTCTTAACATTAGGGAATTGGTCAGGATGGTAAACAAGAAGATTTGTTTATTATTATTATTATTATTAGGTTGGCATTAGTGTTGTGACGGTACCAAAATTTCAGTATTAACGTTTTCATGTTTTTAGTACCGACTTGGTACCGAAATACCGGGTCTTTTGACAACACTAGTTGGCATTATAATCAAAGATGCTACCATTGCTAAACAGTCATTATGATTGATCTGTAGGCCTATTTTATGTGAGGTCTTTGAAAATATTTAGGCCTACATTTTATTTGGATTACACAATTTTAACATAAACTAATAAACTTAATGTGATGCATATGTGTCAGTCATACTGTCAATGAAACAGGAAAGGTTTCTGCATGAATATGGCATAGTTTATTATTAACTATTTGAATCTATTTGATTTTATTCAATTACTTAATTTATTCAATTCAAATTTTCATAATGCATTTATTCAAATTTCTTAGAATCAACATAAATCTGTTGTAAAAGTATTTAAATATGTTCAGTTAAAAAGTATGAATTTTGTTAAAATATGGCTAGCTGAGAAATAAACAATATTCAATTAGCAAAAATGAATGAGATTGAAAATTGATTTACTGATGATAAATATATAAACTTGTTTGTGTATTGAGTTTTTGTTAAAACTGTAATCCAAATGGATGAAAAATGTATATGTATTTTAAATATATAAATATTAAATGGCTTAATAATTATTATTATTTATTTATTTTGTATTTATTTATTTTTAGAGCATATATTGCTAAGAAACTTACCAAGTGCTGTTCAGTGATTATTAAAATCACCGGTTTGGATCATTCCCATCTCTTTCTCTTGCTTCGCTCCCAGGGTGTGGCGGGAGGCCAGAGACCGGATTGTGGGATTCCCAGGAAGGTTCCATGCCTGGGATGTAAATCACCAGTCTTGGCTCTACAATTCCAACTACTCCTGCGAGCTCTCCATGGTGCTGACGGGTGCAGCCTTCTTCCACAAGGTGAAGCTTTGACCGCTTTGACACTTCCATAGCCTGATCATGCCACAAATAGACACCAGGCTTATGTAGGTTTACCTAGATAACACCAGGAAATGGTTTAGTTAGTTAAAAACAATGTTGCTTCTAAGTACATTGTTGTTCAAGACGCAGTGCTTCATTTTCCAGATGGATAAGTTAACAGCACAACATGTTTCATTTATGAGCATTGCTGTGCAACATCATGGTACATTTGGAGTGCTTTGGCTCTCTTGCGTTAATTTTTTATTAAAATCCATAATTTCTTCCTCGCCCTCAGTATTACGCGTACCTCTATTCATACGTCATGCCTCAAGCCATACGTGACATGGTGGACGAGTACATCAACTGTGAGGATATCGCCATGAACTTCCTCGTGTCTCATATCACTCGCAAACCCCCCATCAAGGTCAGTGGGCTGTTACTTGAAACACATGTTATTTCAAGCCTTTTGGGGCTTTTGTCATTTGTGATTTCAGGTTCTTGCTCAGACATGCCATTTTTGGATATGAATAATGAATAGTATAATAATGTTAATCAAGACAATACATTCTGTTTCCATCACTCTGGGTAGCCCCACCCACAGAGAAATCTAATTGGTTCAAATCTTTTCTCCACCTAACTGTGTTTTGAACTTTGAATATGGCCTTATTGGCTTTTATTTTGTCACCGTGCAGCACTTCCAGTCAGGACAAAAAACAGTTTATTTTTAACTTGGTTACAACACAGTGTTACATTTTAATTATCTGACTCAAATTTAAATATGTTGCCATTGATAAATCTCTCTTTATCATGAACATAACATACCCTGGTCATATTTCACCCCCAAATCAAAAGAAAAATCAATAAAATTGAATATAAAATTAATCACTATATAAAATAGAATATAAAGAAATTTAAAGGAAATATATAATGTAATATAAAGAATATGATTGAAGAAAATTACGTTTATTTTCAGCAGTATTAGGCTTTTTTTAAATTTAATTTCCCCCTTTATTAGTATTTAAATCTAAAATAATTATATTATTTAAATTGTATTTATATATCACAATAATATTGTGTTGCCTAAATTGCTGTAATACAAAAATTGGAATCTAATAACAACCATCAAGAAAGGCAAACAAAAAAATTAAATTGTGGGAAAACGTTCTGGAATTAATAATAATAAAAATAAAATTTCAACAAATAAATAAATAAATATTTATAAAAGCTTTTTTTTTTTCTTATGCCAAAATGTATTTCTTTCTTTTTTAGTTTGATTTGGGGGTGAAATATGACCTGGAAATTGTAAGATTCTCCTGTTATCATTTTGCAGCCACAATTTAGTGGTTATTGTGCACTATAAAAAAAAATGAAATGTCTAGGAAGTGTCCAGACAGAGCACACTACTTCCAGTTTTACTCGTGTGTGTTACAATAAATTGATTTCAGTGGGATTATTCAGTAGGATTTCAGTTTTAGCTTTAAAAAGCCTTTGATTTTCTGAAGTCCATTGACTGAAGCATCGGGACAGCCATGAATTAACGGTGTAATGAAATTTGATGGATTTTCTCTCTCCGTCCGATGCTGTCTCGTCAGATTAAACACATCAATTACATTTGTTTTTGTTGTCACGAAGAAGCCAACCAGATTGCATTGAGAAAACAGGCTACACAAATGAAAAAGATGATATTGTGGTGTGAAGTTAATAAGTCTGTCATCTTTATATGGAGAGATTGATTTAATGGAATAATTCACTTAAAACTGTAAGTCAGTTACTCATTCTCATGTTGTTTTAAACCAGTATTACTATCCGAAGGAAGGACAAAAGCATCATAAAAGTAGTTCATACAAACTTTTGCCCTACATTCCAAGTCTTCTCAAGTTGTGTGATAGATTGTGTGAGGAACTGACTGAAAATGAAGTCATAAATCTGTTTTTCATGGCGTTCCCCCTCTCAGGTGACATCACGTTGGACCTTCCGCTGTCCCGGCTGTCCACAGGCTCTTTCGCATGACGATTCACACTTCCACGAGCGTCACAAGTGCATCAACTTCTTTGTAAAAGTCTATGGATACATGCCGCTGTTATACACTCAGTTCAGAGTGGACTCGGTACTCTTCAAGACGCGGTTGCCCCACGACAAGACGAAGTGCTTTAAATTCATTTAGCGGATCGGGGAACTGTAAAGCACAGACGGAGCGCGGACGCGGGACGGTCTCTCTGGGAACGTGAAGGGAACTAAAGCTTTCTTGTAAATATCAGAGAATTTTAGAAGTCAAGGGAGAACAATTAGAGACGAGCGATTACCGTCAGGCGTTTTTAACGCTGTGCGTGATTCATCAGCAGCCACTACAGATTTTATTTGCACCACTTTTCATGGGACGTCTGGGACAGCGAAGTCAAACGATATACTGACTGAACATACAGTTATGGACCGATGGAGGCTGCTTTTGATGACATATTTTGGAGAATTATGGGAGAGTCGGAAGTGTGTAAATGATACGTGTTATTTTTACTTTGCATATACTCGTTTGAAACGCACTGATGGTCATGTTTTGTTTTGTTTTGTTTTTTTCTTGTGTGCTTTTGTGCACGTGTGAATGGCTGCGTGTGTTGTTCTGTAGGTTGACGGTGACTAAGCGTCATTAAACCCCGTCAAATGTTTGTTGATCATCAGTAAGAATAGCACAAGATATCAAACATAACTGCATCGGAATAGCACCAAATCAAGCTGTTACACGTTCTCATGTCTGTCACAATCATACAAGAAAACAAAAAGTCTGTTTGTAACCTGTTCAGTACACTTGTGGAATAACCGATCCATCTTAACGCCTTTTGCTGGATAATCACGTCTGTTTGTGGCGACTGGCTCGTGTGTTGTCATTTTAATAAGGTTGAATGATTTCATAGGTGAAAATTGAAAAAATAAATATCCAGGTCATATTTAATCATATTTTACACAAGGAAAAAGGACATTTTTGTCAAATGTGACAATTTTCATGAATTACAGCACCCAAATTCTCATTTCGTAATGCAAAAATACATAATTAATGTACTTTGCCTAATGCAAAATATAGCTTTTCAATTTTTTTTTTTTGGATTTGCATGACAATTAAGCACATTACTATCAGTTCTCATTATTATAATCTAAAAAAATCTGTCATTACTGTAATGCACATAATTTTTTTTATTTTTTTATTTTCTATTTACATAATATGCTAAATTCAGTGCAACAAATATTACTTATGACATATAAAAAAATATACATAATTTTTTTGTGTGTGTGTGAGATTTTTGGGGTTAAATGTGGTTTTTTTTTGTTTGTTTTTTTTTGTTTTTTTGGCAAAATCTGGTCCTGAAATAATTTGTCTTAATTTTCCATCAAGCACAATGTTTTTTCTTATTTATTCCTTATTTCCTTTTGATTTTGTGGTGAAATGTGACCTGGACATGTTCTTGACAGCTTCATGTGCGAATGTGTTTGTGTGTCCGCTGATTATCTATCAAACACGTGTGACTGCATACGGCAGTGACGGGACGTGCAGTAGTTGCTCTTTCCTCTGTAAACGGTACGTGTCTCTTTTCTGTGGCAGGATGTTAACAACCTGACAAATCTGAGATGCCTTTGAGAACGCTGAGCTTGACTATTTCTGTCTGGTGGTTAATTCATGATGGCTGTCCTGACATGTTTGACAGGTACATTTAGGAAAATGGCTCTGCAATTGTAAATTAATGAGTTTTATTTAAAAAAAACAAAAACAAAAGAGGCTCTGTTCCCCTTAGAATAGGAATATGAATGATTAAAAATTTTTTTTTTTTTTTTGTGGTTACATGTTGCCCTTGTTTTGTATTGTGTATAAATCTATTGAACAGGCTTTAATGTTTTATTATTATTTTTAATTATTGTGAAGACCGTATGGCCTTTGGGATTGGACAGGAACTGACCGTACATGAACTATTGGTAGTAAAGTGTTAAATGCCAGCAAACTTGATAACTGACAACGTCTTCAACCACACTAATAAACCAGCCAGTGTCATCATCTTTCATTATGGTGAAGGTCTCAATCAGTTTTTATGAAATGAATGATTCACAAAAGGATTTGTCATTATTCAGTGTTCATGGAATTTTGCAATACATTTTGTGTTTGTGTTCATTGAGGAACAGGATCAGGAAATTGCAAACTGGATTCAAACTAACAACTCTGACAGTAAAACGGGACGGGATTGGGATCTCTGTAGTTTTTACTTAGTGTGTTTTTATTATATTAATTTATCTTTTTAAATTATAAGTAAATCTTTTCATTTATATTTAAATTTTTACTTTCATTTTTTAATGTTCTAAATATTAATTATTCTTCTTTATATTAATTGTTTAGTATTATTATTTTTATTTTCATTCATTTAAATATGATATTTTAGATCAGATGTGATGTCAGGCAGTACTTTTTTTTGCCCGGAAAGTTGGCAAGAGGTTCTAAATCCATAAATAGAAATCTAGCTGTAGTTATGGTATTCAACAGTCAAAATGAGAGGTGGTGTGAAAATATCTATCTATATAGAAATCTCTCTCTCCCGCTATATATAAACCAAACTTGTGTGAGAGAAATACTGTGTTCAAAAATGTGATATTACAAATTAAATCTGCACATCTCTAATTTACTTGACCTCACGAATAACAAATTCCAGCTGATTTCATCATTTGTTTGGAGTGGTAGAATGAACCCTTTTCTCTGTAATCACACATTACAGTAATTTAGTGGATACAGTTGCGTAAACAAATGGTTCAGAGTGATGTTTCATTATTCCTGATTCACACATCTCTAGTGTGTGCTCGTCTTCGTTTTGACTGTCCATCACGTGTTCCGGTCTGTGGGCTTCAGGGGCCGTGAGCGCAGCTGCTTTGACGGGCCCCGGGCTCAGGCGGGGTCTGCAGCTCAGGAAACACTGCAGTCTGTAATCAAACCCCAGTCACGCATCTTTCTGTCTGACATCAGCTGAGCGGCTCTCAAACACATGATGAGAGGCTGAAAAGCGGCTGTAAACCAGCCCAGTGTGAAATTAGACCCCTCCCTGTGAAGAAACATCTCGAGCTGCAACCTCATAAACCTCCACAGCAGCATGATTAAAGATGAATGCTGTAAGACACGTTTCTGTTCATCATATTTAACTCATCTCTATCTAGCCTTCTTTGTAGCATTCTGTAATGTATACATTGCTCTATATATCATTCTTTCTGTCATCCATTCTATCGTTCTTTCTAGAACTCGTTCTATCTATCGTTCATTATATTTATAGTTCTTTATAGCACTCCATCTTTTTTATATCTATTGTTCTATATATTGTCTTTCGTTCTGTCTGTCATTCTTTCCATTGTTTGTTGTATGTGTCATTCTTTCTATTGTTGATTCTATTGTTCATTCTATATAGGGCTGGCCGGTATGCCGCTATATATGTCGATAACACGGTATAAAGTGTCTATCGTTTATTTCGCGGTATGCAAATATATCGGCATAGCTCAGTACTACATAAAAGTTATGTACACCTGATCTAAGAGTGATAAAGAAACATGCATGAATGAGAAAATAAAGAGTGGGACGTGCTAGATGCTAAATAGAGTTATTAAGCGCAATAAGCAGTGAAAAAGCATGCACAAATTCAAATTTCTTTTGCATCTTATTGCGCTTGAATTATATCAATATGTCCGTCGTGTGGAGTATTCACATAAACACAGTCGGTTATGTGTTAAATAAATGTAAACAGTTGGGTGAAAACCGGATGCTTTTTTTAGTATATTGGTTCCGTGCAGTCGGTCTTAAAGGGACAGCAGCCTAATTTACCTGCTACTGTCTGTGGCATTAATGTTAATCAAAAGACAAAGAGAAAATCACTCACTGCTCTTGACTGAATCACTTTTGGATCTTTAATCATTCATCAGTTCATATCAGAATCAGTTCATATTTGATTCATACAGTGAAGATTATGCAGTGTTTTAGTTATATAGTTGATTATTCAATTTCTGTAGTAGGCCTATTTAAATAAACCTACAGTACTTTAGCTGCAAAACTTATGTTTATTTAATTTGTGTTTTTGTTCTATTCAGGGGTGTCAAACTCAGTTCCTGGAGGGCCAGAGCTTTGATTTAGATTCAAGCCTAATTAAACACACCTGATCCTGGTACGTGCCCAAAGTAAAGCGGCAGGGCAAGACATGAGTGAAGGAAGCTAACACAAGGCCTGGCCCTGCCCTGAGGGAAATGTCTGGAAAATTGCTTTAAATTAATGAAAAAAAATAATAATAAAAACACTGTTTTTGTGCTTCAGCATTTGTGATAAAGGCACAGTGTGGAACAGAGGTCTGTATTTAAAGTAACAGTAACACATTTGAATGTAAAGCTCATGAGTGAGTAAGTGTAACCTTATTTACCATGTAAAAGCTATATATATACAGTATATATATATATATATCATTCTATTTAGCATTCAAAATATCTATCTATCTATCTATCTATCGTTCTGAAGGTTTACCATATTCATGTGCAAAGGTATTTTTATAGCTCTTCAAGCTACATTAAAGAATACCATGGCATTACCATGGAACATGTCCAAAAACATATGCCGTTGTTTCTGAATAACCATAATAGTGTCATGATGCGAGTGTTGTCTGCCAGACGAAATACTATTTAGGTTTGGGGTTTGTTAAAATCAATAACCCTAAAATAAGCACTAGTAATAATAATGACACTTGCCTTACCATAAAATCACTGATAATTCATCTCACACAAGCACTGACTAGGGAATACTTGTACTAATGACTTAAACCGGAATAACGACAGGATTTGTGTCCAGACGTGAGGTTTCCCAGCACTCGTGAAAGTAACAAATGCAGCTGGATGATATGTTAGGTGTGTGTTTACAGCTCCCGTGAGAGACACACATGATATCAGTGCAGAGAGCGAGAGAGAGATTGTGTTTCAGTCCAAACTCCTCTCAGTCCACGAGTGCTGGATTACATTATGAATGTAAAAAACTAGGTTGAGGTTCATATTCATTGTCTTGAACTTTGACTGTGGCCCCAAAATGTATTCAGACACTGAAGTCACTTAGAAAAGTCTGAATGTCTTTACATTAGATACTGAATGTCTGCTTACTTTTCTCTTCACTAAAGTAACTTTCCTTCATCATGTTTGAAGTCTCGTCTTTTGAAGGTGTGTTGTGACGTGTTGTCAAGTATGGTGTCCCATACTCAGAAGTTGTGCTCTGCATTTCACCCATCCAAGTGCACACACACACACACACCGTGAACACGCACCCAGAGCAGTGGGCAGACATTTATGCCGTGGCGCCCAGGGACTTATGAAGTCGGTTCTCAAATTCACTCCGCAGTCATAATTTAAAAATATTTATATGCTGTTATAGCATTTATTAACATTATGGATTAGCTTTTATTTATTCATTTTATTTTATTTTTATTTGGTATTTTTATGTGCTTTTGTCGTTTTTATTATTTTTTCAAATATATTTCTATTTTTACTTCTACAAAGGGAAGCCTTTTGGATTTTTCAGCTAAAAGCCACCATTTTTCCTGGTTTGAATGAGGAATTAGATTTAACTCCATATCTGTGAAATGATTTTCAGTACGTTTATTGTTATTATTATCAAGATATATATATATATATAAAAAAAAATTTTTTTGTATATGTGATTATACTTTGAAATTGTTAATGATGCTATTGGTCCCCCCTGTAATGAGTATTTTGGTTTCTTCCATTTCTATGAGCAACTGATTATATCTGCACCTGTGACTAATTTTGTACTTGACACACTCTGAGGAAGGCTGGATGGCTGAAATGCATCAGTGTGCAGTGTTCTAGTCATTTTTAATGTTTCTAGAGTGAGCCATGTTTGAATAAAGGCTTTTTAACATTTTGGAACTGGAAGAAGTGCCTTGGATCTGTAGTTTCTATAGATATATTTCTATTTTGCTTTAATTTATTTTATTTTTTCAGTTTGATTCATTTTAGTATTTCAATTTAAATTTGTTTTATTTCAGT